GATGAGGGTCCTGAAATTCATAATAGATCACCTGAAAACTCAGAAGTGCTACATTTCCTAGAGTGGTGAATCATGCCAAAACCTGCATGAAGTTGTCCCATCATAAAAGAGAATGAGAAAGGTCTGAAAATTTTCTTCCATCATTGGCAAATTCTGACTGGTAATAAGGAGAGTTATTAGTAAACACCCACATATACGCATACCTAATGTATTTTGGAAGTGAAATTCAGTAGCAGATGATTACGTTAAGGCCTAATATTAGTGCATAATCAGAAATATAAGTGTAGCTAGTAAAATATCCTTCTTGCAGCAATCTAACTAGATTATCACAAAGAGAGATAATTTTTTAAAGGCCCAAATTCCTACTTTGATGGTCATTCACTCATGCAAGAAGCCATCCTGTCTCTCTTTAGCCTCTGTTAATATAGATATTACCAGCTAGGTCCCAAATTTTATCTGCCTATAGTGGTGCTCTCATAGTTACTACAAGCACTCAGTGAAGTTATTTGACAACACTTTGCTCATTTGTCAGAAGCAGCAGTATTTTTGTTATTGAATTTTACTTTGCTGTGGTATCTACTTAAGACTCTGCCAACTGCAAGGTTCTGTATACCGTGCTAAGACATTTCTGATCCTACAGTTAGGTCAAAGTCTTATTAAAATTACATGAGTATTTTGAGTGTGTTTTGAGTCAGCTCTGATTGCTTTAAGCTTTGTTTGTAACATCAGACACAAAACCACTAAATCCCTAAGAAATAATGAAGAAATATCTATTAATTACTTCTTTTAATACCCATGATTTACAGTGACATTTAACCTATCTTTCCAGAGCTACAATTTGACAAGTATGTAATTACATTTGACCAGTGATAATCACAGAGCCAAATAAAATAAGTCAAATTGAAGATGACCTTCCTTAACTAATCTTTGCCTGCAATTAATTATCCATTGTCTGTATGTATATTATTTACAATCAAGAAACAATTTATAATAACCTTATATGATTACTGCATATTTTTCTAAATGAAAAATGGTATCATAGGCTACTTAGTTTCTTCTTTCCCAACTTAATACTCAAGGTGTTTTGAAAAACAATATATTAAAATTCGTCCTGAGTTATAAGGAGAAGATTTAGTATCAGAGACATAATACCCTGCTTTACAGGAATTAAAAAAAAAAAAAAAAGGGAACTCAGTTTTATCTTGTGAATGCATATTCACAAACTATCAAAACACTGTCCTTTTCAAAGCTGCCATGTCACCAATTAATAATAACCTAAGTAGCTGACTTCAGCATAATGAATGCTGGTCTGCAAACAGAAATCACATCATTTCAGGGATTAGAGCTGAGTTCTATATTCCTCATTCTCAAACTTGATTCCTTCTGTTTGGTTTTTGTTTGTTTGTTAAATCTTGCTTCCTTTAATTCAAATTCCCTTTCTTCCTGGTATTTCTATACCAGTGGCACTGTAGTGCAAGTAACATAAAAAGGACAGCAGAGAGTAAGGTCTAAAGGGACTGCTCATTTCCCATCCTCTTCACCTCTGCCAGGTAGCACAGCTCTGACATGGTCCTCACAGACCAGGCAGGATACTTGTGAGCAAGCTGCATACTTGTTAGCCACCTGCATTTCCCATCCTGACTCCCATCACTTGTGATGATAATGACAACACTAAGCTTTCCTCTTTAGCTCATGTAAAAATAATGGATGTATTTTATACCTGAAAATAGCTAAATCATACTGATATGCAAAGAGCCATTAGAAATACCTTAGAATAGCTATTTAGGCAACCTGTGACTAAATACTTACTTATCTCCAAGAACTCCACTGCTAATGGAGAAATATAACCTGCCTCCCTAATTTGTTCTCCACAGATCTTTGTCTTCCATCCCCACCCTTATTTTAGCAATTAATGAAGTCAAGGTAAGTCCTTCCATTGATTTCAATGGTCTCCAGTAGAAGGCTCTGGATCTGCCTCTAGGAGCTGCTTTAGCCTCTTGGCTAAATGGAATTTGTTAGTTTTGCAGCACATATTAATTTATACCACCATGTCTGACAGTCTACCTGGGGGGCAGAAAGGCTGTAATTTAATATTTTAAGTCATATTATGTTCATTAAATTATATGTGTACATAAATTGAATGTAGAAGTTAACAGAAATTAATTTTTATATAATAGAGTACAGTATAAACTAATGAGAAATAAAGGAATGTTAGTCACCACACCATAAAAAAATATTCTCAATCTACACATGCCCCTGGAGAATTGTTACCTCATGCTCTGCGTGATGGATGTCTACCAACAGAGGGCTTTGTTGTCTGAAGTGACTCACCTGGAATTAGTTAATGCTTCTAAATGAAGTCAAGGAATGTTAACATTTTAAAGAGCTCAGTGATACAATAAACCCTTACACCGGATTTATAGTATTGGCATCATATTTAATTTTAGTATCTGTAATGTTTTTCCACTTTACATGTAGAAAAGTGCCAGAGGGACTACAATTAAATTCAAGAACATCCCTACACTGCTATTAAAACCTCTTTTTCCTCCTCTAATCCTAAAGCCAAAATTACTTTGTTTTTCTGTATTGATCCGCTGTCACCTCAGGATGAACAGATACGGATCTTGAAAATTATATTCTATAATATGCAAATTGGCACACCACCTAATTTACTGAAATAATACAAAAGTAAATGGAAGAACAAAAGATTCTTATAAACCATATTGCTACTCCTGTTGGATATTAAACACCTGATTTTTTCATGCCATATTTATTCCATCTTTAGTGTACATTCCTTAGGACAGATGATTTCTTATGGTATCTGAAGTCAGAAAATTCTGTTAAAATTTACATGCAATAAATTTACCCAATAAACATTGGAAAAAATGGGCTGGACCTAAAACCGATTGAAATCGAAACGAATATTTCAATTCAAGTTGCTTTGCATCAGTTCACAAGTGCAAACTACCTTTTGTAAATAAACATTCTAGACTATTAAGTCATAAAATACCTCTACTTTCTTGTTCATTACAATATTACCTAACTTAAATTGCTCAACTTCCAAATTATATATCTCTATATACATATATATACACACAGACCCTTTTCCACAAGAGGGACTTAACATACTGAGACATCATAGCTTTCCTAATATGCTTCATACTTTCCCTATTTTGCTATTGCCTCTAATGATCTATTCCTATCCATTTTTAAGAGACCAACTAATCCAGCTGCACTTCTTGCCAACACCAGATCTTTAGAAATGCATTATAATGGACTCTCTGAAATTCATGATTCCTTTCACCTTTGACTGAGATCCAGAGTTTTCAACAGTAGCTCCCTGTTGCCACATCAGAAAAAGAAATTACTCCCTCAACGTACTTATGCTTCATCAAATGCAAACATTTGCATCAAATGCAACATCCAGTCCCTTGGAAATGGCATGCTACCATACAACTATGAAATGGATTTGTCTACAATGTCAGTGGGTCCTTGCATTTTAATAGCTTTCCGCTCCAGTAGCCCTGGAGAGGAAAATGTTCAGGTATCAGCAATAAGCACTATTAACAGAAATTCAGTAATTGTAATAATACATGATATGATACCTGAAGTAATACATCTTAATGTAGGCTTCAAAATCATATGCCAAAGAAAGCATTTAACTTCCACCTGTACTTGTATATATATTTCACGTGACTGAATGCACAGAACAGGAGAGTACCAATGAAAAATTACTAAACAAGTAACTCACTAACCACTTACACATATAATCATTTACTTTATAGTAACTATGACACAAATTTAAGCATGGCAGACAGCTCTTCACCACTATAAATGTATTCTTACGTAGGTTTCAAATCCCTGCATGTAGGATCTCAATAGTCTTTGACCTTTGGAAGCTATTTTATTAGGCAGTCAGAATTTTCAGATCTTTTTCTTTTCAAAAGAAAATAACAAATTCAAACTCAAGTCTGGTGTATGGTGTATTTTTTAGATCAAAAATAACAGAACAAAGTCAGTAAAACACTAAGATTATTACCTAAAGATTACAGGACTACTTCCTTTTTCCCTGGCTTTTTTTTTTTTTTAATTTGAAGAAACTTCACCCAGTGTAAAATAAAGTCCATTATTTTCAATCTTGAGTAGAATAAGAAGTTACCTGCTCTGTAACAACTACGGAGCCTATCCAATTAACAAGGCCTCTGTGGGTCAGGGTTTATCTGCCACTTATCGTGGAGGGCAGTGATGCTGATGGAATGTGAGTGCAGGCACTGCCACTCTGACCACAGCGCCTTTCCAGACCTCGCCCCGAATGGAAACAAAAAACAGTTGTGACCATCAAAAACCTGATTAATTGAGGGTGGCGTTCTGAGCCTGGTGCTGGTGACCCAATGACTGGGAAATGCCCTGGAGGTTTAAAGTCTCATGTCCTTCCCAGGGTAGCAGTCACACTTACAACAAAACTGCCTAGTTAAATTACATTAGCCAACTACTGTTTACAAATTTCAGGATCACATACGGTCTGCCCATTGTTTGGCACAGATAAACACAATCAGCCCTGGCATTTGAAGCTGCTGACAGATTGCCAGCCACTGGTGCAGATGGTGGCAGCACAAGAGCGCTAATTACCGATGACATTAATGATGAGGTAACCTGTCTCTCTTCAGCTAATAAACAGATGCAATGTGTTTCCTATTAATTTTTTTTCAGATAACAAATTGTTTAGCTTTAATGGTAGAGAGCAACAAAACCAAATTATCTGTTCTTTGGAGAAATTTGTTTTCCGCTAATTGCTCTAAACAATCAATAACAGAATTACAACTGGCATTATCCCACTGGGAACAGAAGCAGAGAAGTCAAAGTCAATTAGCTTCCTACAGTACGATTCACTCAGACGGAAAGAGTCATTACAACAGAGTGTAAAAGTCAAACTATAAAGTATGCAGTTCCATCAACAAAGCAGACTGGGATGGAAAATCTAACAGAAGGCTTTTACATACCTGTCAATTCCTCATATATCTCTGCAGCTTCCAGTTTTTCTTTAGATGCTTTCAAAAAAGGGTAAAAGACAGGGAAGATGACATTCTTGGATCTTAGAAGGCTCTGTGTCTTAGGAGCGTGCTACAGCTATAAGTCTTCAGAAGTCATGGCTGAAAAATGTCTCATCTACAGAATAAAAAGAACAAATAACCAGCTCAGTTTTCTGCGAATGTTCCATTAGTACAAATACAATATATATGGAAAGGCTGAGGACTCCACAGAGGCTAGTGAAATATTATTCAAGTGGGCAAAATAGCCATAGTTGAATTCCCAGCCTTTTGTCCACTACAGAGTGGAGAATCAGGGGCAAGGAATAAAACAGGGCAACTGTTGTTGCCAAATAATTAGTGTTTAATAGAATGGCCACACTTCAAGTGAGGAGACAACTTCATCGGGACTGGAAGTCCCTGCCTGGTGTAAGCACCAGATACCAGCAGTGTGCTGAACGACTGAAGCGTCCATCCTCTCACAAGCAGAACTTCAAGCTCTTGCTGAGTCCCTGAGAGTCCTGAGAAGACAGATTCTTGTTTGTGTCTTGCAGACCATAGCTCCTAGCCTTTCCAAGCAGTGCCTCTCACCAAAGCCCACAGCCTGTCCAGGAGGAAGCAGCTGAGAGACAGTGGCCCCCATTCTCTCATTCTCTCACACACTAACCAGCTAGCAGTCTCTTGACCCTGTATGTGTGGAAACTCCTGACGTCCCACTCTGGACAGGGCTGCTGCACAGAAAAGTTGTGACACCCTGTTTCAAAATTGAGAAGTGCCAATGTGCATTCTCACTTATACCCTCATTTTCCCCACCAGGGGTTTATGATACAACAGAAAGCATATATAGATATATTTATACACACACACACTGACTATTCAGGTTGAGCATTTTAACTAATAGCAATTGGATAAAGGCAGCAACCATGTAGCAAGGACAAGTCACCTTCCCTGGAGGTATTTAAAAGACATTGTAGACATGGTGCTTCGGGACAGGGTTTAGTGGTGGACTTGCTAGTGTTATGTTTATGGTTGGACTTGATGATCTTAGGCATCTTTTCCAACCTAAATGATTCTATGACCATCCATTTCAGAAAAAAAGTTCATGCACTTAAGACACAGGCATATTCTGCTAAAATAACTTCTCGTTGTTTTATCTGATTTTCCTCAAATGCATGGAGCTTTAGATTTACTTTAATCTTTCAAATATTATTTTTGGACTATTTGTTAGTTCCAGTGCATTCAATTAAGAAAGTAACATTTTAACACACTTTGTGTTGAACATAACTCACATTGTGTATTGGAAGAGTCAAGTCCACACTGTTTCACATTAATTCCTTGCACCCCGCAGTTTCTCAGCAGTGAAATACATCAGTAGCACATATTTTGCCCTCGAAAACTGAAATCATAGAGCTTTACATGAACCCTTGACTGATTTAGCATCTCTCTGGGCTGAGCTTCTGACTCTTTTAGTAAAGAGTGGCTAAAGAGGCAAAGTCCTCTTCCACAGGCTACTTGAATCCATTGGTTATTCCCCCCAGATCATTCCATCAGGACGCTTTCCCACACAGGTTTATTTTTCTACCGGGTGAAAATTGCTGGCCACCCAACATCTTAATACATTGAGCAATGTTTTCAGCAGTGATGTAATGTTGTATTTGAAAACATATTATCTGCCCACTTTCTACTTTATGCTGTTGCACACAAAGGACTCAACTGACTTTCTCATGCAAGCACAACTGCAAAGGCATCCACAACTTTTGTTAAAGGCCACCTATTTTTTCCCATGAGTTATCAGAAATAACACAGTTGTGTTTCACTATTTAGAAGTGACTAACAATGAATGGCTGTTCTGGCTGGGAAAGGTTTACATACACCCTCACAGTTCTCTTTATTCAGAGCTTGTAAATAACAACAACATACAAGCCCTACAGCCACTAATTTAGCACCACATTGTGACTCCCTCTGTTTCTTTCCATTTGCCCCAAGCAAAGTCAAGTTCTAGTGACCTATTTTGGCCAATATATATTAAATCGGTTCGTTTGACCTTGATACTGTTTTGTACAAAGCATTAAATTTCTTGTGCATGGCAAATGGTACAGTCTGTTGACCATGAAATTCCTATGACTGGGCTTAAGTTGGTTTGTCCATGCATTGCTGAATAATTAAGTGTGGGACTGAGTTTTGTTAAAAAGGAAAACAAAGGGTTTGTTTAGTTTTGTTGCAAAACATTGCTAATTCAGGGGCTATTCTGCTGCTAAGCAGAAAAAGGAAATCTTTAAGCAATGAAAACAATTATGATATTTAATAGTTCTCAGTTCCTCTTCTTTGCCAGGATTTTTTTAAAGTGAAGACAACATCCCTCTATGGCTATATGCACAACAACAATTAATTAAGCCACCTCTAACATGCTATATTTTCCTATGCAAAAGAAAGCATGTGGTGGTTAGAACACATACTTGATACACAAGAAAACATCTCTTTTATATAGACTCTGTTTACAAAGCCAGTTAAGAAATTTTTAAAATTGCTCTGAATGCCTTGCTTACTTTTCCAGCAGAGATGTTTTCTTCCTGTGCTAACGCAAGACAGATTTCCACAGAACGCCAGCTGAGTGCTAACATTTGATCTTTACAACATATCCCTCTACAGATGAGACCAAATTCTGCTTTCCTTCTCATTTTGGCAACTACTGTATATTTAACAGTTGCACAGTGTCATTCTGATTCACAAGTTTTGCTTAAGATATGTAGAATATACCTCATGTCAGACCGCTTTTCTTTCTTAATGCTGGAATCCTCATTCTTTATCATCTACAGATACACAGGGTGGGTATCTAACAAAACCTAAGTCAGCTCTTACCATGCAACTTTTGTTTTCCATTCACAGACATGAAGCACTCTTGAAGTGTTTATACAAACGAAAGGAAATCTTTTATCATACTCTTTGCTCATCTGGGTCACCTAAAATGCAAAGTGCAAAATTAAATTCCTACAAACAGTAAAACAGTTCATTCCTCTTTCTGCACTCTGCTACACTTCACCATGCACACAATGTGGTAATTGCTTTTGCTTGACTTGTTCAAACAGCCATTTTCATGACGTGACAGCTAGGGCACTAATATATTTATGCCCTTTGTAATCGGCCAGCACTGCTTGTAATTAGGTGCAAAGTTAATTAAGTGCAATACATCTAATAACTGCCTGCCAGTAATTGTAAAGTTTGATTTAGCACATGAACTGTCAAGGTGTCAGAATAGTGTGTTAAAAAATAAGTTGCTAACAGAAAAACAATCCTGCCACAAGCCAGAGAAAAGCACTGTGACAGTGAGTCAGTTGAGAAAAGGAAAAGATATTCAATACTTACTATTTCCGACACTGGGAAATGACCTCACCTGCATGTTGATAAGTTGTAAGTTGCTTTATTGAACAACAAATTAAAATATATTTTACTTACCAGTCAATGTCTTCTCCTACGGAAAACCCTTTCATTTAAAAGCTATACATATGGTATAGAATTTTTTTAAGTCTGCAAATGTCAGTAAGAGAACAGATACAATCTTTTAAAAAATAATACATAAAGGGGGTTACAAAAAGAAGAAAGAAGGCCCAGAGAATCGAATTTCTTGCTTAGAGACCTGGTCTTGTTTGGGTTTTTTATTGCATAAAATACACCTTTTCTTCTGCTGAACATAACAGAACATGATACATATCCCAATTACTTACATAATAATAATAGTGTAAATAATTATGCTTTAGTTGTTTTTGCTTTAGTTAATTTAATGATTTCACTTCTTCATCTGGAAAAAAAAACCACCATGCTGTTCATGATTTTATTCACTATGGGATATCCTTTCTCCAAACCAGTTTCAAACTACTTGCACTCCTATTTACCTCTTCAGTTTTCTGGGAAACCAGCTTCTCTCCTCCTGATTGATCATCCCTCCTTCTCCATGAGCACGTTGTGGGTTTTCCAGCTTCATATTCCTCTTTCTTAAATTCAACTTTGATTCACTCAAATATTCCCTTCACCTACATCCCTGTATGGTATGAACCGTAAAATGGCCTCTTCCTCAAACTCGGCAGTCAGGGCAGGTTTGAGCAAAAGTATAGGTGGTCAGCAAGCTAAAAAAAAAAAAAAAAAGAGAGAGAAAAAGAACAAATGACGCACATTCTGTACATAGTATAATTTAGCATGAGCTGTACATCAGATTAGAAGTTACAGTGAGAACAAATGATGAGTTACATATGTACCACAGCAGCACAAAGTATGTGCATGGTTCAATACATTGATTATTAATATACTCATGATAGATGAAGCTCAGAAAATGACACCTATAAAATATCAAGAGGAAAAGCCTGGACAATGCTCTGAAGCCAGGAGATGCAAATAAATTGATGGAATTTGTACACATAAAGGATAGCCCACATACCTCGAGAATAACCTAAGTTCAAGGACAACATTGCTATTTCCAAAGCAATCACCAGCAAAGATTTCTTTCTAAAATACTTCACAAAAATCAATGTCAGATAAGCTATTCTTTGTGGTTAGTTATTATGAACTGATATTTGATCAGGGAAATTATGCCCTAGATTGACATGAAATTAATAATGCTTGTTGTGTGGTGCCCGATGACAAAGGTAAATGCTAATAGCTCTGAAATCCTAATGATTGCCAAAGTACTCTTCCGAGCTTTGATTAGTGCTTGTGTTGTGCAATTATGCTTTTCTATAATTACTGTGAATTACCATCATGATATTATTATTCTCATATTTTTTATTTCTCTGAAATTCTCAAAATTTCCTGCAGCTAAAAATGGATTTCATTTGCATTATCACAAGCTTTGATTGTTTAATGAAAAATAATTCCATGCAGACCCTCATGTTAAATTGTCCATTTAAAATTTTCCTGTTATCTAGATTATGTTGAAGTGCCCCTTCTTTCATTTATCATTTGCCTTTATTATCACAATCACTGCCCTCGCTTCATGCTAGATTTCAGAGGGAAGGAAAAAATGCATGCCGTTTTTATTCTGTCTTCTGCCTGGAAGCCCTTTCTCTGTATGCTCTCCCTTTTCCTTAAAATTCTGTATTTGGAAAGCTGAAAAATGCCAGGAATTAGCAAAATGTGCTGGCTATGCTATAAACTTGATTTTGTTTGGTTGCAGTAGGGCTGGAGGAGGCCACCTCGGACTTGTCTAAGGCTTAGAACCATGCCCTAAGCAAGTGAGATGACCAAGGGCCATCCATGGCTATGCCTGATGGCTGCTGGATACTTCCCTCTCAATAAATACACCTACAGGTGCAATGTGTGCTTCTTAGGAATGTCCATCCCTGCCAGGGGCACAGCTACATCTGCCTCACTACCGAAATGTTTCTGCCAAGTGTGAATAGCTTCATGGTTTTCAGTGCTGTAGTGGCTTTAAAATTCAAAGATGGCCTAAAATGCCTTCATTTCAGTTTCCTGAAATCTGAAGCAAATTTCAGGACTGATTTTCAAGGTGTTCACACTCCCTGTGAGCAGTATTGATCAACTTTTCATTACTGCTTAACAGCCTTGTGAAAAAAAAATTCAGAAAAAAAATTCACCTTCAGAAATTAAAAAATAAATAAATATTCCATTTGTTTGCATGTTTCCCAATGATTTTTATTTATGCACAGGATAATATCATATTCAAAGTATTGATTTTTGTAGCCTTTTCTTCTCCCGTCTGTAGTCATAGATTGATTAGTTTTTACTTTTTTTTTCCTTTCTCAGTAATTTTACAGAACATCTGATGCCTTATGAAGCAACGGTGGGGCTTCTGAAAGCCTTCCTTCATGGCAGCTTGCAAAACATGAGTGCAAACATCTTGCGGAGGAACACTCAAAGCATATACTCCACAATGCTGTAATGAGAATGTAGCTTAAGCCATGCTCAAGGCTAATGTTCAAAGAACTTTTTAGGAGCAAAAAAGAACGAGAAATTGACTTCAGCAGATTTCTGGATACTATATGAATTTCAAAGTCTGTATAGTACCAGAAACAGCAAAATCCATTCAAAAGCCAAGTTGCAAAAATCATGGGAAATGAGGGTTTGTATAGAAGCCTCTCAGAGGCATCGAGTTTAATAATTGTAAAAAAAAAAACCAGATAGACGTGACCTTCAAAATTAAAAAGTATGAAAGCATCCCACAACCTAAAGAAGAGTTTGTCTGATATTTGAAATATTTCTTCCTACAAACATCACTTCTGCGTGAAGTGCATGTATGTTTGAATAGATAGATGAAAGGAGATAGAGACAGAGAATCTATTCTTTTAGTGAAATTCAGTTCACTTTTTCTTGGTTTACATAGAACGTTTCAAATTCTATTGCAACAAAAATGGAAAAATCTTGTGACCTTGGCACAATTTTGATAGTCTTAGGATCTGACATGTATGTTCTCAGTCTAGCTCAAGTTCACCATCATTTTGCTGCCTCTATATTAAAAGTCTTCACTGCAGTATTTCTATGAAAAGAGTAATTCAGAGTTATTTTTAAACTATTTTGTGAGGTATTCACAAATGCTGGACTTGAAGAAGATGGTCTAGATAACTGAATATCTATTACATGTTTCACTACATACTCACAGAATATTATTTTGTTATTTTGTCTCCGTCATTTCTTTCCAATCTTTTTCAACTGGTTCCATTTTCACCTCATATATGCATCTGATTTTTCTCTCACATGCACACAATTCTCCTATGCAAAGTGTTAATATAACACGTGTGGTCACAATTTCACACTTGTAATATTCAAATAGGTTTGAAGTTCGTCAGAATAAGTTTGACCATGCCCATACGTACACTTAAGGATATAAAAGCCTGAATCAGATGAAGCAAAACAACCATTTAAAAAAAAAAAAATCTTATGTAAGGATATCTATATCCCTTAAAGATTTGTTTTCATTTTAACCATGGATAATAACAAATGGAGATTCTTCATCTATAACTTTGTCATGATGTGTGGAAAATTGAGCCCACATTGAACATCTGTAGATTGCATCTTTCAAAGCAGTATTCCACCAGTAAGATTTCATAGCTAAAGAATGATAGCTAAAGAATGATAGCTAAAGAATGTTGGGTTTTGAAGCAGTAATGTACACTTGTGAAACTAGGACTTCTTTTCATCCATCTGTCAGCGCTGCGAACCTGTTCTCATTGCTCCCTAGATCACTGTGCCGTTGGACTGTGTATATGTCCTCATAAGCATGTGCTACATGGCCATCTCTGACACTGCCTTAAATATTGGTTCCGTATCTCCTAACCCAGCTACAGCCGCCAAGTGAATGAGCATGGCAGTGACCCTCATGGTAAGATTAGCATCTTGCACACTTTCATCCCAGTCTGCTTCATATCAGCTCTACTTGAAGTCACACTCTATTAAGAAGGGCTGTTATTTTTAGGTATCCAAAACAATGTTACGTAAACAAACAAGTGGGAACAAGTCAAGCATTGGGCATTGACCTTACCAGTGAGCCAGTCTTCTCCAAATGGAACCAGGATAAATGTAAATTAATAGAGAAGCTCCCACCCGTACTTCATGGAAAATTCCATTCTACCACCCACACGGTCACTGCCCAGTCTTACCCCTCATATGGGAGGTCAGCACAGATCCTGCTTGTTTCAAAATTTTTCTTTTATATTAAAGATCAGCTTCAAGAGCCTAGGAAAGGAGCTAATCCTACACACATGTGCTTCTGGTGAGATGGCAACTGTCCCTGGCTAAGGAATTAACACCCCTTTTAAAGTTATCCTCTTTATTCTGAGCTTCCAACAAACAAATCAAATCCAGCATTTAGCAACTGCATGTTTCACATCACCAAAAGCCCTTTCAGATCTTGAAGCTGTACACACTGTCTGCTAGAATAACCTCAGGCATTCTGTGACAATTGAATTATAACCAGTGACACCCTCTTTCCCATCCCATTGCACTGAGTTACCT